GAATTTGATACTTAGTTTTAAGTATAACAGGTTTAACACTTCGCACTATCGCGATTTTAACTTTGAAATGTTTGATATAATTCAATATAAATTAAATTAAAATATTGCAAAGAAATGCATTGCATTTTTAGTATTATTTTTATTTCAATTCGTTTATATTATAAGATAGTAATAGTGCGAAGTGTCATGGATTAGCTTAATTAACTGCTCGGACATTCGATTAAATGTGCTCGTGTRAHATGTGCACAGTCGATGAACTCTAAGTTCATTGATTGTCCACGAGCTAGGATAGTTAACGGTAAACGCGAATTTATTTTGTAATAATTATTTAACAGTGTTATAACGAACATCGAACGGAATTATTTTGCAAAATGGTATGTATGATAGAAAAATAAATGAAATTATTTCATAGGTATTGTAATATGAAATGTATTTCATTTATATTAATGTTATAAGCAGTTGAGAGTAATTGGGTGAAAATGTCTTGAAGTCGTTTCTAAATTGTAGGACCATAATTTGGCATGTTACAACGGTATGGTATTAGAATAGAATCGATAATTTACATGGTTAATAATATTCCTTTCGACGAAGAGATATCTCTCGATCAAAAGGTAATAATTATTTTCTATGTAAAGAAAGTTCAGGATGTTTTACTAATCACATTTTTATTTTCAGGGTTGTGTTAGGGTTGGTTAGGTCGGGTTTTTTATTCATTTTATAATTTAGAATCAGGGACGATTCTGATTCTATATCATTGATCGTTGTAACATGCTAAATTATGAGAATACTTTTTGGGAATGATTGACGTTTTTGGTCAATGATTCTTTTCATGCTCGCACGTAGGGAATGTCCGACAGTAGGCATCAAGAAAGAAGAGGCAAAATGCCGAAGAGGCCCCCACTTAATTGTGGCTCAAGAGGGCAACTATGGACTCAATGAGTTATTTGCAAATTCAACAGCATGGTTGAATTTTTGCGAATAGCTCGTTGGTCATTTGATATTTTGATTGTTTTATTATTTGGCTCGTCAATAATTTATAGTGGTTTTTTAAGAATGGAAGTAATTAATATAGTTTTCTTTCTGTTATAGGGGAACATCGTTGGAATTACCACACTAACTACCAGAGATTTTGATTGCCAAAAATAAATCGAGTATTTGATAAATTTAATTTTATAGAATACAATCCCATTTAGAATTCCCCCTCACTTTAATATCATATCATTTTTTCATTTCCAATTACCCCACACTTTTCATTCTTCATTTCATTCATAGAAACTAATTATTTTATAATATTTTTTAATATATCTTTTTTTCTAGGTATTAGCAATATAATTTTCATTTTAATTTGTTTCAGAATATGATTAATTCTAATGCACTTGTAAGTGCATCGGATTTTTCATCAGGAACTTGCCCTTCGATGCATTCATTGCATCTTTTCAGACCTCCAAAATAATCTTTGCTTTTTCTTTTTCAGGCTCGTTTCCAGTTTCTTTTTTTAAAGGGTAACGAGTAGATTCTTTCTTTGGTTTTTTCACAAAGAAAGGGTTTACTTCAGGGATGCGACCCTGCCCTACGTGAGCCATGATTTTCTCCTACCTCCAATAATTGGGAGAAAATCATGTCCTTACCTTGAATTTCACTCCACCAACCATCACTCCTTCCTTACTTCTTTATTTTTCTTTTTGTTTTAGATTTCTTCTTGTTCTAGGTTTCTTATAATAGTGGAGTATCCAAGAGGAGAGGGACCAGAAGAGGACTGAGTTATGGTAAACGGGTTGTATTTTAATTTATTTATTACTTTCTTATTCACAGGATGAGATATAAAGACAATGCAATATTCCATCCAAGAATAATAGGAAGCAGATAAGAAGAGGACTATAATTATGGTAAATGGTAATATAAAATAATTACTTGCAAAAATAATTAAAGTATTTTAATTCTCTTTATTTTATTCTTTCTAGCATCGTACATGTATGATAGTTATTTTTAATGTATCCTCTTTTGTTCTACAGGTATCATCTAATATCTTCTTTTTCTTTTTACAGGTACCATTTAATATTATATATATTTATTTTTATTATACTATATTTTAGGTAGATTAAAAATTATTAAATATAGATTATTCATAACTTGTAATTTCCGTATGTACATATATTGAAATTATTCTAGGGGGTGTTAGTTTTAAGTAACATCGATGATTCTATTGAATTTCTTTTCAGCTTATACTTCTTATTTATCATTTTGTATTTTTTGGTATTTAATTTTTTCTCTGGTATTTTAGATAATAATTTTAACGATTTTTCGGATGGTACTCTTATGGTGGGGCCTAAGAGTTAGGTTCATTCCTTTGAATTATATTCGGATGTGAGCATCTTTAGGATGCACATCCCTCTTGGGTCTTCAGAAGCGGTTACCTCCTCGTGGTTAGACCCGGGCAATGGTATTTTACTTTCAATGTAATGTTTAACATATTTTTATATGTTTYATATTCCATTGCAAGGGAAATCCAGCCAAAGACCGCTTTTTACTTACATTGCAAATAAAATTGTATTAATATTCATTAAAAATTTCTGTTTCAGAAGCGGTTTAATGGGTAGCGGGTAAATTTTTTGTTCGTAAAGGGTGGTACCATTTACGAATAAATAATTTACTTCAGGTATGCGACCCTGCCCACGCGAGCCATGATTCTATCTTACTCCCAAGGATAGAATCATGTTCATTTAACTTTTAAACATGAACTACCGTCTTTTTTTNATGGGAAACTGAAACTTCATTGTATGGAAAGGCATCTTCCGCTATTTGTTAGACGGACCCAAGGATCCTTTTCCGTAAGTTCGCTGTTAGTATTGGTGTTGGACTGTACCTTGGAGTGTAGGTTTCTCCTAAATTTAGAGTCAGTGGACTAGTCCTATCGGGGGGAAACCACTTAAAAAAAAAATCGTGAAAAGTTCCGCTTTAAAAGTTATACCAATCCCCCCTTTTTCCAATCCCTTTTATTTTTTAACTCTTTTTTATCCCTTTGTTTTCTGTTGCAGATTGGAYTATGGTAAGGAAACGACCACAGGTGGACCAAAGGAGGACCATAAAGGAACAAGAAGTGGACTTGGTAATGTAGGATAGTATAAAATAATTATTTGTGTAAATAAAATGAAAATTTGTATCTTTATATAATTCTCTTTGTAGCATCTCACATGTGTGATCATTATTTTTAATGTATTTTCTTTATGTATAGGTTCCATGAAACAACTCTTAATTGTATACTCTTTTTAATTATTATACTTTATTTTATGTTGATTGAAACTTATGTATGTAAATGTATATAGATTGTACTTCTATAAGTTGAAGTTATTCTAGGGTGTGTTAGTTTTAAGTATCATCGATAATTCTATTGAATTTCTTTTCAGATTAAACTCTTTTTTTATCTCATTTTTTATTTTTTAGTATTGAAATTTTTCTCTGGTATTTTCGATAATAACTTTAATGATTTTTCGGATGGTTCTCTTATGGTGGGGCCTAAGAGTTAGGTTCATTCCTTTGAATTGTATTCGGATGTGAGCATCTTTAGGATGCACATCCCTCCTGGGTCTTCAGAAGCGGTTACCTCCTCGTGGTTAGACCCGGGCAATGGATATTACTTTCCATGTAATGTTTAACATATTTGCATATGTTTTACATTCCATTGCAAGTAAAATCCAGCCAAAGACCGCTTACCATAAACATTATAATTGTAATTAGTTTCTTATATTCCTTTCCTTGATTTCCTTTTATCCATTTCATTTACAGAAACTAATTACCTTATAATGTTTTTTAAATAACGTTTTTTTTTTTCTATTTACAGGTAGTCCTTACTCTGGAATTTCAATCACCAATCATCACACTTTTGCTACTTTTTTCACTTTCTTTCTTTTCGTTTAAATCAAGTATGCTCACATGAGTTAGCATTTAAAATTTATGTTTAAATAGATAGATGAATATTGGATAAAATGAAAGTGAACTTTTCAACTTCAACTATTTCTGTATTCTTCGATTTACTATACTTATTGCTGTTAAATTATTGATTATTGATAAATAATATTTTCTACAGAAAACAAATAATTTTCAATTCCTTTTATTAATATGCAACTGTAAATTTCTGTCTTTACAAATAATACTATAACGTAAAGTATTGAAAAATAAAAAAGAATTAATAATCAAATTTGTAACAATCTGTCCAAATAAATGTTTCATTCTAATCTCATTAGAGTATCCAAATATAGTACATAGAAATAATAATTAAATGTTTGTCAATTATAATACCACATTTATTATTAAAAATCATAACTTATACATCTTAGAAATATAGATTTGTCAAATTCATCCTATTCCCAATGATAAAGTTTTTTATTGTACTTTTTATGCACACATTCATGAAAACCATAGATAATTAACTTACTATCAATATTGACGAAGTCCTCCACGTCTAATAGTAGGTTGCATCATTCTATTGGGTGGCGTTATAGAAATATCCAAATAATCACCTATAGTAAACCTGTAATTACATTAATAATACAATAAATATTATTATATTCTATCCGCTAAAATATTAAATATATTATTAATAATATTCTATAATCATTTATAGCTTATTAACTTATTGTCATTCACATTGTTAATTACAGTAATTAATACACACCGTGCTTGTGCAAGTGTTTTATTATCATCAGCTCCTTTTTGACCTGAACATGTAACACCAATCTCTCTCATTCTATAACCAGAATTTCTTAACTCCGGTGTAACCAGAGAAAAATCAAAATATGTTCCTTTACTCCGTGCATCTGGGTTAACTTCTTTAACAAGACCAGTAATTTCTCTTAAAGTAGCATCCATCCTATTGTATAAATGATACAAAATATACACTAATGCAAGTAATAAAAACTAGTGTGAGAAGCATATTTTATATTAATCTTAACCTTACCAAGTGTATATCTGAAGTTCATTAGATGGTACATTTCCTCTACTGTATTCCATGATATTATGGTGTCGTCCAGTATTACAAAATACTCTGAGCAAGAGTGGACATGTCTGAAAAAGTAAATATAACTTTAAACTCATTCAGTTTACTAATTTAAAAGGTAAAGTTTATAATTTTTATCTTAAAAATATGAAATTAATATTCTTTATAATCATTAGATTTAGGTTATATGTGAAAGAAAAGAAAAAACATCATTTTATAACCTCATACAACTTCAAATTCATTGAAATTACAAGGAACTATTTAAAAATCAGAGATTAATAAATTTATGTTAAAAATATTAAAAAATATATTCATAAAAACATTTATTTATAAATATGATATAGAGATAATATATTTATTTTATTTACTTTTTCACGATCCACCGGTTTCTCAGGAAGTTGTTTTTCGTCGACCACCATAGATTCTAAAGCTGATGCCATATTTATGAAATTATTTTATAAATTGAAAATAATTGTAATATTTGTTAATTAATAAAATAGTTTTTTTTCAAATACGTCCGTCAACAAACAAGTATAGTTATATTACAGTTCACTGGACATTGGAAAGATGGCGCTTATGTTGCACTAGTGCATTTCTTATAACGAATCGAAGTATCACGTGATTGGTCATTCAAATTGACTTCTTAAAAACAAATTGTCCAATAAATTAAATTAATTATTTATATATTTATATACATTATTAATAAAATAATTAACGAATAGTAACAATAATCTTACAACATTATTCCATAAAAATATTGAAACAATCAAAAAAACAATTTAATGACAAGTCAGAGATAATTATTGACATCGTTTGAAAGGAAAAAAAAGAAAAATAAGATTTATTTCAATTGAAGGTAATTTTTTATTATAATCCAACTATTACAAAATAAATAGTTTTAATGGTAATCTATAATCTAATAACAATAATAAAATAAATATCTTCTTTAAAACCTCTATACGAGTTTTTTAAATATAATTATGTATCTTTACGTAAGCCATTAAAATTTTTTTTTACATTTCAGAAATCAAGGTTATGTTTGCTATAAGTCCTAAGGAACATCATAGCATAGTTGACAAGCTGGTTATATAATATTGCTTTGCATCGAAAATGGTAAATAAATAATTTGTTTTATATAATACATGTGTTTTTAAAAATAATATATTTAATTTATTTAAAACAACAAAAATGATATTTCTGAAAATAATATATTTCATTTATACAACGAATGATATTGTGGAAAACATATTTTAATTCTTCGAAAGATTGTCCTTTTTAAAATAAATAAAATATTTCATTTCTTCAAAAATGTTTAAGTTTTAAGGAATAAATATTTTATTTCATTCCAAAAGTGACATATTCCAAAAAGAAAAAAATACATTTTATTACTTGTTTAAAATAATTGTTGAAAAGTATTTCATTTGAAAGATGATTTTATCAAAACTTAGAATATTTAGCAAGAGTATATATGCTGAATTATTGTGAATCTTAATTTAATTTTGTTTTACATTATATTTCATCTTTTTCACAATTTATTTCAAAGTATAAATTTTAAAAACATTTATTACTTACTAAAAATTCTCAGTTAAAGTATTTTATCTTATGCTTTAAAAGATTATTCTTTCATAAAATATTGTAATTAATTTAAAATTTATATTTTTTAAGTATTGTTTTATTTCAATTGCATAAAAAAAAATCTATCATTTAATGAAGTATTTGAAATATTATTTTCAAAAATATATCTTAATTCTTCCTGAATTAATTGATCTTTACTCTTGTTATTTATGCAGTATAATTCACTCTATCAATTTTCCCATTTTTTAAAAAAATATTTCCTACAATACAGAGATAATAAAAGCTAAATTTTCAAAATATGTAAAAAGAAAAAAAAATTAAAAAAGGCTTTTACTATTATCGTTGTTCCAGACATCATCGATTTAAATATAAATATATAATATAGACAATAATATTAAATGACAATATATACATATATATGAAAATATAATTTAACTTAAACTAAATAGTAAAAATGTACTTTCAATTTAAGATTTAAATAAATCTACATGACAAAAATATCAACACTTAACACTTACCATTTTATATTGTTTTTCAGTATGTTTTCTAAAACAATATATAAACTTAATTGCACAATGGAATAAAAATGTCTTTTAAATATAAATAAATGAAGATCATTATTCTTGTAATATGAAGATTATTTTTCGACGTCTGTATACGTTTTTTAAGTTTTCACCTCTGAATCCGTTTCATCTTCTTCCACCTCTGGATCCGTTTTATCTGCTTTGACCTCTGGATCCGTTTTATCTGCTTTGACCTCTGAATCCGTTTTATCTGCTTTGACCTCTGAATCCGTTTCATCTTCTTTGACTGCTTCATCGTTATATAATTCAGTCTCGGATTCACACAACTGTTTCTTGGTTGCATCAATTAAAGGAATATCCAGATCTTTACATCTCAAATTTTCTAGATCTGTATATTTAAATCGCTTTACTTGGACAAATACTAATATATCCTCAGCATTGCAATCACATTTAATTGGATTTCCACTTAAAGTAAATACATGAAAAGGAGTTGTTAAAAAGTAATTCATTACGCTTACATTAACCTTGGATATGTTATTATTATGCAATTCTAGTATCTAAAAATGAAAAAGGACAAATTTATGAAATATTTGTAATAAATATAAGGAAAACAACAACAAAATAAATCATAAAATAAGAAATTACGTACAGTGAGATTTGCTGGTAATCTTTCAATCGACATGTTACAAATCCTATTATTAGATAACAATAAACCTGTTATGTTTAATGGTATGAAAGCATCAACATTTGGTAATTCCGTTAAGTAATTACCGGTGAGATTCAATATTAATGGATATTTTCCTCTAAAAATCAATTTATCATGATCGATTTCGAATGTAGTCATATTTCTGTACGAACAATCTAAAATTCGAAATCTGTCATATGGTCTTATTAAACAAGTACACATAGGTTGACAATGTTTTACAATTTTGAGGTATTCATCCTCGAGACATTTGTAGGTTTTTAAATCTATGTGATTAATTTGTGGCCCTACTGTTCCATCAGATTTCACACACTTTGTATTTCCCACTCTTAATTCCACAAAATTATAAATCGTAATGTGCAATTCGTTGTTTAAATAAAGCAAAAGATTATATAGATTACAATCGCATAAAAGTGGATTGTTATACAATTCTAAAACAACATCACGTTCCGTAATTCGATCATTTGCCAACCTTTCGATGCTGTCGAACGGAATTGATTTTATTTTATTATGACTCAGATCGACTTTAATACTAGGTGATTCAAAAAGTAAGGTATTCCCCTATAGAAGAAGAAGAAGAAGAAGAAGAAATAAAATCAAATAAATACAAATGATTAATAATGTAAAAACAATTGTTTTTTTTTTCTTTTTTTTAAATATTTACCGTCATTTCATCTATGTCATTATAACTCAAATCTAATATTCTTAAATATTTTAAAGCTAATGCCCAATCAGAAAAGAAATGTGTTATTTTATTGTGTGACAAATCCAATTCGTGGAGACGAGTGTTATTTGCGAATGGTGATTGTTTTCCATTTGAATTTTCTAACTGTAGTTGATTATTAGAAAACTTTGCAACGGTTAGAACAAAAAGTGAATATAATGCCTCATGTTCGATTGATGTTAAAAGATTATTATCTACGTTTAGTATGTTCAAAGATAACAAACCGTGAAATAGATTTCTGCAAAAAATATTCATAATTGACAAATGAATAGATTATAAATTAAATCTTTGTATAAATTTGATAATAATGTACCTTGATATAGTTGTAAGACGATTTTTTGACAAACTGAGTTTAGTTAATGACCACATATCATTAAAAATTCCGTCAGGTAGTTCTTCAATCATGTTCCCATCTAATAACAGTACTCCTACATTGTTTAGACCTTTGAAAATTTGTGCGGGTAAAGTTCTAAGATAATTATCATTCAAATGGATGGTCATTAATGTTGTTGAATCCCAAAAAAGATCTACTGGTAGAGTAGTAAATCCATTTTTGGTCAAATACACTTCTTGAAGATCTTGAAATCCTGATAGAAATTTTTCTGGCAATCTAGCTAAATTTACCTCATTATCGTGTAACATTAATTGTTTCAATTTTGTATTCTGTTTAAGTAAGTCTTTTGGAAATGTCTTGAATTTATTGAAAGACAAATCTAATACTTCTAATTTTTTTAATTTAGAAAAAGTTAAATTTGTCAACTGATCTAGCTTATTGACTGAAAGATTTAAAGTTATCAATGACTTCAGTTTGAAAAATATTTTATCATTAAGTTCTGACAATTTATTTGACATAAGATTTAGATATTTTAACTTGTCTAAATTATCAAATACTCCAAAGGGAAGATGTTCTATTGAATTTCCCCATAAATTAAGTCGTTTAAGATTTATCGTATTTCGAAAAATATTTCTCGGTAGAACAATTTCATTTTCAGATAAGTCAAGCTCTTGCAATATGACAAAATCCGAAAACAAATCATTTGAAATATTAGTTAAAGCGTTATGGCTTAAAATTAATTTATCTACATTTGAAAATCCTTCAAAATCCTCTTTTTTTAATTTATCTGTAAGATTTGTATGAGATTGAAAGCTTAATTCATCTGTATTTTCAATTCCCAATTTTCTCACAATTTTTTTTAATGAAGTTGTGTTTGGTAATCGACAATTTATAAACTCCAACGATTGAATTAACTTCTCGGATTGGTCACTCGTGAAATCAATATTATTCCAATCAATATGTTTACAATTGATCTGTAACATTGTCATTTTATATATATATATAAATTTGTATTTAACAGAATATAAATAAATGAAAAAGCAACTGAGTATACATACTTGCAAATCTGACCATGATTTAACTTGTAAACCTAACGTAACACCTTTATTTGAATTGTGAACAACTTTAATATCATTTAAAACATTAGATGAACATTGACAATTTGGATTGTAACCACATTCTGTACTCTTAACATTACCGTTGATATTTGTAAAGGTAAGACAAAATATCAATAAGATTATCTTATACATTGTTTGTTACCTGTTACCTGTAAATTACAAGATAAAAATACAATTAATATAATTTTAAGGATAACGTTAGTAAGATAATTATAAACAAATTTATTCATTCATTTCTCACAAGAGAATATGTGATGTTACATTGTTTATACGTTTTATTTATTTAATAACTATTCTAATTTTTTGTTGCTTTTATTCCTTTCTCATTTTTATGTACTCACTTAAGATCATTGATGTAAAAATTGAATAGTTGAACGATTCTGTTAAGTTACCAGAACTATGATGTAGCTTCTATTTCTTATCTTCAATAATTCTATTCCTTTGAAAAGTATAATTAATAAATCACTATTATGTTTTAAGTTAAATGGACATTTGAATAAAAAAAAAAAAACAAACAAAAAGACAGAATATCAAATACAGTGAAAAGAAATGTAAAATTTAAATATAAAGAGAGAAACAAAAGAAGTTTCGTTACAGTTACAAACCGATATAAAATTTCATGTTAGTTTAAATAATGATCAACTGAAGATTAAATTAAAGATTAAATTAAAGATTAAATTAAAGATTAAAGATTAAAAAAAATAAATAAAAGTATCTTACTATTAGACTGATAAAGAATATACACAGTGAAATTAAATCAATTTTACACTAATTTAATAAAAATAAAAATAACGTCTCTTTGTTCTATTTCAATTCAAAATGTTAGGTCAAAGTAACGATCTCGCAAACACGTACTTACTTCTTGATAAACACGATGAATATTACAGAATGAGGGAAATCATTTCTACATATATCAGTTGAAGTACGTTTAAGAAAAACCTAATCCAACGACTTTATGTGTAAACAATTTATAATTTGAAAATCCAAATTCATTTCGGTTGGTATTAACGATATAATATACAAATAAAAGTATCTGTTACAAGCTTTGTCAAATCAATCAATAATAACGCAAAAACTCGAAGAAATATAATAATAATAATAATAATAATAAATTGTTGTTGTTATTATAATTCAAAATAAATGTAATTGTTAATATCAATTTGAAATACGTTTGAAAAGAAACATCGCGAATAGTTTTGAAAAAGAAAAAAATAATATACAAATTAAATGGATTTTTGGAAATAATCAGAGAGGATTTTAGTTGAAACAAATAATTATAAAATAAATAATTTTTAATGTTAATCAATGATCCAATATCAATAACAAAATTAATATCTTTTTTTTTTTTTTTTTTTTATAATACATACGAATTTTCTACACGATAAAAATAAATGTAACATACGATATAAATTCTATAAAAAAAAACAAACAAACAAACAAAAACTATCGAAGTTCATAGCTACTTATAATGCTGTTTTACATAATAAATAGTAAATAAATAATTTGATTTATGTCATACATTTATTTTTACTTCTGAAAATAATATATTTTTTCTTTTGTCTCTACGAATTTTATTACAGAAAAAATATATATATTTTATTTCTTTAAAAAAATACAACTTTTTAGAATAAAATATTTGATTTTTTTTTAATAAGTTTTTAAAAATAAATATTTTATCTTAAAGAAGTAATATTTTGGGGGAAAAAAAAATATATATATATTTTATTAGTACCGTCATATTTAATTAAAATAATTTTTAAAATTTCATAAATTTAATTAATTAATTTCAATAAATCAAATTACTATTTGACATAGTATTTGAGATATATTATTTTCAGAAATATTAACTAACATTATCTGAATGATTTTTATAATTACTTTTTATTTATGCAAAAACATTGCTATCTTTTTCATGTTCGCAAAGTATTTTAGTGTTTGTGATATTCTGTTTTTTT